GAATAGTTATTCACAAGTCATGTAATACTAGTATTTCTTATCATAACCTGTTCTATAGTTTTCATATTTGACTAAATATTGACTTTTGCACACATTTCTGATTGCATTAATTTATGTCATAACTTAAAGAGTTTTAATTTTCAATTTCATAATTTAATTTGACATCTCATGTCAAAAATGTGTTGGAATTTAATAGAAATGTGCGGTTTATAAGCAATTAAAATAAACCATATAAAATCATAAAACATTCTTTTTTATTCCAGTTCTATTCATTTAATTTCTTATTAAATGATTAATACAGTAAATATTTTTTAAAAAGGCAATGATTTTATTTATTATTGATTTTTGATTACTATGTTATTAATGCGCAAATATAGGTTATTTTTTAAATTAAGTTATTTAATTTATACAAAATAACTTACTGAATTATACGTACTGTATAAGCACTTGTATATCTACAGTAATTTCTCACAAAATTGTTTTTATAATTACATATTATGTCATTTATTTTTAATGATTTCAAATCTGATCTTCTAATGTGCCGTATATTTCAATTAATTTTATAATAAATATTGAACTTTTTTTTTTGTTTACCAGTATAATTTTTATTAAACTTATGATTCAACCATAAAAATTATTCTTGATATCAATTTATAGTTTTACACACAAAATTCTTTAGGTTGTTCTATATTAATCATATATATAGCACGTCTATCCCGATTACTGTTAGTCTTACAGTTAGTTTCTCTTATCCACACTATTAGGAAATCTATTTTTAAATGGTATGACAATCTGTTTCCACTCGATTTAGTTCCCTTCGAATGTTTAATTAAAATACTCGTGAAATTAATTTGATGTTTGAGTTAATCTCTGAATTGATTGAATTGATAGCATTTCCGGAAGAGTCTCACGAAAAATGTATCCCAAAGTCAGAGGCCAATGATATTTGGTTGAGTTGTGCAAAAAATGAGACGATTGCTATTTACGAGGCATTCTTCACCACATCTGCCAGACATCGATGCTCTCAATCCTCGTCAGTGACCACAGAAAGAGCCATTCAGACGGACGAAGACGAGGATAATATGTATGCCTTTCCCCGATTGCCGGCCGCCTGTACTGACGACATCCGACTCTCGTTGAACCGCAAGTAAGCCATAAATACTTGTATTCTTTATGTAATAATAATGTTAGTACTGTATAGAGGCTTAAATTAAATTTATATTTTAACTCTCACTCGACTTCTATAAATCTATTCAATTATAGCAATTGTAATGCAGGCTTACAATGAAGATAATTCTTATTGAAACATAATCTGTATAATTGCGGCCCACTTATAGACACAGCTATGAAATAATAGTAAAGATAGTGGTGTGGGACGGGTGGCGTGTGGGTGGTCCACACTCTCGGCAATTGTTTTTGATTTATCTCTTACTGGAATAACAATTACAAAGTATTTGCGTTGAATAAACATAATTATAGATTAGTTTTGAACATGTATATTATAATAAATAATGTGAAGTCTGCATAAACTGTGAATTAATGACATAAAGTATAATACATAAAGTTAATATAATATAATAATACAGTAATTGTATTGTTTGTATAGATGCTCGAGTGCTGAGAATTGTAGCTTCAATTTGATGAAAGATCACAATCAGGGCTGCATTGGAGAGGACGGTTCCCTCATAATCAGATACACCTGTATTTCCGGTCAGATATTCCTCTACTTTACATATTTGTAACAAACCGTAAGATTGAGTATTGTATTGTGAATCATATCTTTTCAATCATAAGCCATTCTATTGTCGTGTGATTTGAATATAAGCTTTAATTTTAATTTATATCGTTTTTTATAACCTATAATTGAAATCCAAAACCAAAACACGAAGCAATGGAAAAATGTTTGAATATTTTGTTGCTTTTTGTATGCATTGGTTAACAATAGGACCCTTCTATAGTCATATCGTTGAGTGCTTTTGTTGGCAATTCATTGACTGCTTCTATGAATCAAACGAATTAAGACTACAATGCATTGAATGGCCAACAGATGGTTGCGAACAGTACTCGAAACTCATTGAAAATTATTTATATTTTACTTTTTATTTGATTTTATAAGAGGTCTACACATCTGTCAATAGTGTTGTGAATAAATCAATGCATTGTTTGCAATCCTTTTACCGTTGATTAGTATTAAATTATTAATTTGAATACCATTTGAATCCTAACAGCAAAAAAATTCCATCCCTTCTGTAACTTAAACTTATCGGAGAGCTATGGATACATTTCCACTCCAGGGTTTGTTACATAGTTTTGTCAAACTTTATGTAATGTATTGTCAATTGTGAGCAGTTATCCCCGTTTCTATCCTCCGTACGAGAGCTGTGTCTGGAATATAGAGGCCGGGGAGGGACAGGTCATACAGATTGATATATTGGACGTTGCAATACGAGAACCCGAGTCTAAAACGTCTGTTTATAATCGCAAGAAAGTTGAATACAAGTGCACCGATCGGCTCCTTTTGACGGAATCCAAGTCTCAAACGTTGATACTTTGTGGTGAAGTGAAGTCTAATTTACTTCAGTACAGAACCAAATCCAATGCTCTGACCATAGATTTCACAGCTTTTGAATTTTCGCCAACGCGTGGAATACTATTCAGATATTCATGTAATCAATCATTTATTTCAACACTTATTGCATTCATTTCACTCGATATTTTAGGCATTCATTTATATACAGGTCAATGTTTGACATTCTATACATCAATAGACTGTCCTAGGTTTCTTACAACTGTTAGACAATAAATAATAATACCGTATATTTTATTTTTAGTAGTTCTACTACAGTATATCTTATATAATATTAAATTTCTTATAGTTAAAATTACTAATTAATTAATCATAGCCACACATTTGCTCCTTATTATAGCGTTTCTTTATTTGTTTATTTAGAATTTACTCATGTTTTTAGTGTCTAATATATCAATCAATTGTCAGAACTTTGTACTAATTAGTGAAAACAGATTGCATTTTCTTGAAATTTGTTTTTAACAAACATTGAAACCGTATAATCACGTTTTGAAGTAAACAGTATTGTGTGCATTTCACTGGGAATTCAAATGAATTTTAAATAATATTAAATATACTATAGATACTAAACAATGAAATTACTCCAAATCTACTAAATTAAATTTAATTTTATAATTTATATGCCAACCCAAATACAGTACAAAATTGTCCGACACTCCCGGCACCAAAAAATGGTCACTTAATTTCGAGGAATGGAAGTTTTGCTTATTATAGCTGTTGTTTGGATTATTTGTTTGAAGACACCAAACAAACTGATCGAGTCTTATATTGTCAGTTTGGAAACCATTGGAATTCTAGTCTTTCTAAATGTGTTCGTAAGTATACTACACTTTATTTTTAGTAATTATTTAAATATGAGATTATCTTTATTTCATACAAAAATATGTCAATCTTTGAATGATAAACATTATGCAAATGTGAGAATGTGTTGACATTTGTAGCATTTAATTCAAATGATTTATTTGTAATCATTGTTTAGAAGCAAAAGAATTATCGATGAGTTCATCCCTTATTCTCTCCAATGATTCAAATGTATTGTTCAGTCGCTCCGACAAAGAGTCCGATTCTGATGGCAACTATATTTCAGGTTTGACCTAATATTTGAAGCATTTGTTAATTATTCTTTACTAATATATTGACATTCAATTGGCAGATATTTTGATACCCATTGTCCTAATGATCGCTTTATTGATCGGAAATGCAGTCATTGTTTGGGTTTTATTTAGAATAAAGAGAAGACAGAAGAGAACGGATGACAAGACTATAGAATCTACAGTTCCGTTGAACTCTGGTTCAGGCCCTCAGACCAGTGTTTAGTCATTAAAGATTACATTTATTATTATATATTGTTTTGATTTGATATCATATGTGAGATATTTAACAAAATCGTTGCCAAACAGATATACAGTATAATTAACATTATTGTCGAACAAACACTCATTACATTAATATTTATTTTTCATTCACTCAATCAGTGTGTTCTCAACTTAAAGCCACTTCTAAGCCCTTAATTCATAAAATATTTCTCAATTCACATCGAAATATATACCATACGCTTAGAAGTGACTGAATATTTTTATTATTTATAATATTTTAATTATTTTTTGATCATTTTATTAGAAATACAATTGTGTTATTAATAAAACAATAGAACTAATTATTTTCGAATCGATTAGAAAATAAAAAATTATTTTTGACTTAATTCATAAAGTGTTTCATTTATTTCATTCAATTTAAATGAAGGCAATAGAGAGCACTTCATTACATACAGAATCGTTTGGGTCCTTATATTCTGCAAATGATCTAAAAAGTGATTGATTTGAAAGTAAAATTGCCTTTTGTAACACAAATTGTACGCTTGAATGAATGTGTGCAATATTACCACCGATGACACCAACACACCAACTGTTATGTTAGAGATCAACAGATCAATAATGAATAAATCGATGCTAATTACTAAACGTTATTATAATTTTAATTTGTATAATCTTTTTCGACATTTAACTCTTATTAAAGTTATAGTATTGAAAGTCCTCCCACTTCTGCCCTATTTTCTTATTATTTTATTTGAACTAAAAATCAATTAAAAATTATAGTCAGTTAAAACTTATTCAATTTTAATCATTAATTATACTCTTGTTTATATTGTACAATGCACTGTACAGTACATTATGAATTGGCCAATAAGACAATTCACGGTTAAGTTATTTCTTATTTATATTCTGTACAATTTTCTAATAATTTTAAGAATAATTTTGGTACTATGATAATACAAATGATTTTTATTTAGAAATTTTCAGTTACTTTAATTTCTGAGAAGTTATAAGTTCTTGAAATTTTTATGAATGAAATTGCCTAATGATTAGAAAACACGCTTGATTACAAACTGTAGAACACACCTACTCCATGCATATATTTCCAACTTATGCAATAAATGATTAAATTATAGATTTCATATTAGACATGTCACTTTGTCTATTGGATCAACCCGAGCTGAATTTCTAAATTATTAAATTCAATTCAATCCTAATATTCCAAAATATAATATTTGGGTTAATATTTTAACCAATAACTTTGTCTAATGTGACAATAATTAATCATAAACTATTATATACAGTATATAACTGAAATTCTATAATATTTTTTTACAACAATACTTTTATTTTTAATAGAACATAATCATAAGCATCTTAATTTATCTTTGTATAGTTTTTGTTATGTTTTTAGAAATTTGTGCTTTAAATTATTAAATTAAAGTGAAATGTAAGTGAAACGCGATATTTTTTGGTGTTTCAAACCGATTCCGAAAATATTTTACAGTATAATCTTAATAAAACCCTAGCCTGAGATTGAAAAACAACATCTCTATACAGTTAATAAAGTATAAGTAATAAAATTAATGATTACAAATAAGTACCGGTAATCTAATTTGAAAAACTACAATTATTTGTAATTAATGTCTTAACATCATTTTTCTGGAAAATTTTCAAAAAAAACAAAATCATTTGATAGTCTTAAAACAATATGTAACATAAATATAATTAAGTTTCGAATTTAATACTTAATTCAGAGTCAATACAATCTGATATTTAATAGCCAGTAGTCGTACTATTTTTCGATTTCTTTATTAATATGGTTTGTGTCGGCACTGGTTTCTATGGACTACCGGTTCTCTACACATAATTATAAATCTGTCTCAACGTATGAAATATTTAGTATATAAACACAATTCTGTTTACTTGACAAGAATATACGATATATGAAAATTTCATGCAATTATTGTAATTAATTTGTAAACAAGTCTCGTCTATAATGGGTTGCACTGACTCTAAAAGTGTGGACATCAAGAGTGGGACCACTATTCAGAATACCAAGAATAAGGAGAACTTTGACTCAAATAATGTTAAGAACAAGAAGGAGACGGACAAAGTGATAAAAGCCAAGAATTTTAATGATTATCCAAAGAATGGTAAATAGATTTGCTTAATATAGATAAGAGTTGTTTTTAGACATTGTTTAATGAAATTAGAAATCGAGAACTCTGTTCAGTTAAATATCGACATCGGGTCGAAATTGTTTGAGGAAAATGAGGAAAATGTGGAAAATGAGGAAAATGTGGATCAAAACAATGTCTCCGAAGAGGAGCCTAAGAAGCATTCGGATGAGACTGATATTGAATTAAAGGAACAAACAGACGATGAAAAATTGGGACAAAGTTGTGAACAAAGTTGGGACAAAGTTTTCGTCATTTCTAATGATGAATCAAATGATGAAACTCTTATAAAAGAAAATCCAAAGTCTGATGAAAATGGTAACGAAGAAAAGGAATCGACTGAACATACAGTCGAGGAAATTGTTGACAATTCTCACAAAGATTTGAATGAGAATTTGGACACAATTGACGAGATTTCAGGAGAAAGTATTGAACAGAACGACACAAATGAAACGGAAAATGTTGGCAATAATGATAATATTGAAGCCGTTATTGTTTCAGACAATGAATCGCATAATGAAAACAACATCGAAAGTACAACTCAAGGAAATAACGATAATTCATCAAATGTTGAAGTTTCCGATCAAAATGATAACCAAATTATTGTTGAACCAAATTAAAGGCATTCAATTCTTTGCTTATACAGTATTTCAATAGAGAAAGGATTTATTTTACAGAGAAATTATTGCAAAATTAATAGATTATTAAAATGTTGAAAATAATGCCACAATTTATTAAATAATTTTTCTCTCTTTTAAGATTTATTTGTATA